CTCTTCAGCTCAAGGCGAGCGCTCTACCACTTGAGCTACAGCGCCACTTCCGGTTTTCTGGTGGTTTATTGGAGATAGGAGTCTCACAGTCTTTCCTGCCCGGGCTGGCTTTGAACCGCGATCCTAAGATCTCAGCCTCCTGAGTAGCTAGGATTACAGGCGTGAGCCACCAGCGCCCGGCAAGGCTCCATTATTTTTTAAAAAACAGTTTTCTCTATCAGCCCAGCTGGAGTAAGAGTTGAATAAAATTGGGGGGTGTCTTTGTAGGTGAATTGGGAACATAGTTGCTTAGCACAAGGCCCTGGGTTCAGTTCCTCAGAGAGAGGTGGGGGGAGAGGAGAGAGAAGAGAGAGGAGTGAGGGAGAAAGAGGAAAGAGAGGGATTGAATAGAATTATGAAGGAAGTACTTGGACCATTATAAAGGAAAATATGATTGCTGACACTGTTTTACTGCCTTGAAGCTGTGAGCCTGAGTATTTGTGGTGATTTGGATTCACCCTCTAGGCCCTCTTTGAGAGGAACAAGAGCTCCTGGAGTCTGATCCCCTTATGCTGGACAGCCCTGAAATCTAGGTATAGATTCACAGGGAAATTTCTATGATTTTTTTTTAACTCCAATTTGCTTCCAGATTTGAGTTCAAATACTTCCCCATCAGAAGTCCTAGGGGAGAAGAAACTCCTCAAAGAAACTTGTATCCGTTTCAATAATTCATAGCCCAGACAGACTTTAGGACACCAGGCTGGACAATAATGTTAATGTTCTAGAACATGTGATTATAATTTTAATCCATGGAAACAAAATCTTTATTGTCTATCGCTCTGTGTCCTCAGAAAACTGCATGTGAAGAGGAAAAGAGCCTGAAGATCTGAGTTCATTGCCTGGCTCTGGAGGTGTATAATTGTAGTGCCTTGGATAAGCCGCTGGGCCTAGACCTAACTGGCTTTGTTAAACAGAGAATGGGAATAGCTGTCTGTCTTGCTGGATGGTTGTGGGGATGAAACAGAGGTAGGAGGCAGGTCTTGGTAAGCTTTGAAAGTCTAGATAGAAGTGAAGCTGTTGCCAACATTGGCCAACTCCTATACCCACCAGCCTGCCGGCCCTGTTGTTGTGTAGATTCATCAGGGCTCTGGCATCCTTTCCCTTCTCCAAACTGTCCACAAAGAGTTTGGAGATCCTTTCCCCAAATTCCACATTGTCGCTGCAGCCTCCCCAGATCCAGCCATGGCCTCCTATATATAAGGAAAGAATAAGTTCTGCATACAGCTCCCTGCTAAGTCCCAGAAGAACAGTCATGATATTTTTGGAGAATACAATCAAACCATCCCAAGAGCACTGGGAAGGTATAAGGCTATAACTGAAGATGAGATAGGCACATGGGTTAGGTGGAAAGAGTCCTATTCCCAATACCTGTTGCTGACGCTTCTCAGCGCTGAACAATAAGTCGTCTATATCCCAGTAAATGTAGGCACACAGGGCTGGTCCAGATGATTATAAAGGTTCACCACATCTCAGGTTTTCTGGAACTCTACACCATTATTCTACAATGCTCTTCTTAGAGTCCCCTCTTTACTAGTGACAAACCTGAGTTTCTTTGGTCTACAAATAGTTGAATATTTTTGAGTTACAGACAAGCCATTCTAACACAAAGGCTAACTTGAAACTTTCCTTGGCTTTTTATTTTTTAATTCCCAATCATCTAATGTTTTTAGAGCTACTTGCTAATAATCCTTGGACTCACTGATCCAGTCTTAATTCTGATCCAGGAGTTCCTCCTAGTGAAAGGGTGGTGGGAGTATAGGGATGTGAAGAACTGTGACCTTTAGCAACCTGGCTCTGAAGCTCCTCCCCTTTTCCTACTCCAATCTGAAAACCCAGCTTACCTGTTTTTCCATTTTTTGACTCATCACAGCCACAGTTTTCAAAGTCACCCATGCTACAGTTCTTGGTGATGGTGTACATAACTCCAGCAGAGCTGATAGCATGAATGAAAGAAGTCTCCCTAGTAGCTTTGGAGAGAAAGAGGAAACTAACTAAATAATTGGTCTTCAATGATGTGAAGCAGGTTTTGGAAAACCAATGTTCCTATTACCACCACTGCCCCCACCTCCTCCAACCTCCTTTGGGCTTAAAGAGGATGCTCTCCTTAGATAACAGTTCATGCCTTGCCAGCCACCTCAATTCAAAGAGGAAGTTCTGGGCATCTCCATGCTACAGATGGAAAAGTTAAAACCCAGAGACAGAATGAGGAGACCAAAGGCCATTCTCTCCATTCTTGGTGTTGAGATCATGAGCCTGCTGTCCTGAAATCCACAGAGGGTGAGATGAAAGGCCATAAGGCTTGTTTAGGAAAGAGAGAAACACATTTTCTGACCACCAGTCTGGACCATGTGCTAATCACAAGGGTTATGGTTTCTGATATTGAGCTCTTAAACTTTTTTTTTTTTTTTTTGGTGGTGGTGGTACTGAGGTTTAAACTCAGGGCTTCATGTTTGCTAGGCAGGCACTCTACTGCCCTCTGAGCTCTTTCCTATTTTTTTTTTTTTTTTTTTTGTCGGTCGTGGGGCTTGAACTCTGGGCCTGGGCGCTGTCTCTCAGCCTTCAGCTCAAGGCAGGCGCTCTACCACTTGAGCTACAGCGCCACTTCCGGTTTTCTGGTGGTTTATTGGAGATAGGAGTCTCACGGTCTCTCCTGCCCGGGCTGGCTTTGAACCGCGATCCTCAGATCTCAGCCTCCTGAGTAGCTAGGATTACAGGCGTGAGCCACCAGCGCCCGGCTTTTCCTATTTTTTTTTCTGCATCATATATCCTTTTAGTATATCCCTATTCTGTATTTAAACCCCATTAGAATGTGGGGGAGATAGTTGTTTCTGCCACCCCTTTGGCAGAACTGGGTTTCAGCTCAGGGCCTTGGGCTTGCTAGGCTGGCATTCTACATCTGAACTACTCGGCCGACCCTGCTTCTTGCTGCCTATTCTGTTTTTTTTTTTGGGGGGGGTTCCGGTCATGGGGCCTGAACTCTGGGCCTGGGCCTCTACCACTTGAGCCACAGCGCCACTTCCGTTATTCTTTTTTGCTTATGTGGTGCTGAGGAATCGAACCCAGGGCCTCAGGCATGCAAGGCAAGCACTCTACCACTGAGCCACCTTCCCAGCCCTTGCTGCCTATTCTGGAGATGGGGTCTAGCAGACTTTTTTGCCCAGGCTGTCCTCAAACTGCCATCCTCCGGATCTTAGCTTCTTGAGTAGTGTGAAGCATTAGTGTGTGCTACCTTGGTTATTTTCTAGGAGGGCTTTTGCTTTATGCCCAGGCTGGCATGGGCTGTGATCCCACTACTTGTGCTTTCCCTGTGTCATTGGGGATGACACGCTGTGCCCAGCCAAGCCACTGGCTGAAATGGAGTCTTGTGAACCTCTGTTTGCTGGAGCTGGTCTTGAACAGTGATCTCTGGCAAAGAGCTCCTGATCTCTATCTCCCAAATAGCTAAGATTACAGGTTTGAGTCACCACACCCTGCTTTGCCCCACCTTCTCTACTCACTTTCCCACAACTTTTCTTAGGCAATTCTATTTTACAAAAATGGCTCTTAAGCTGGCCACCAGCAAGTAAATCAGGTGCCAGTACTCACACCTGTAATCCTAGCTACTCAAGGAGGCTGAGACCTGAGGATTGCAGTTCAAAGCCAGCCCAGGCAAGAAAGTATGTGAGACTCTTATCTTCAATTAACTACCAGAAAACTGGAAGTGGTGCTGTGGCTTAAGTGGTAGAGCACTGGCCTTGAGATGAAGAGCTCAGGGACATGCCCACGCTCATAGTTCAAGCCCCAGGACTGACCAAAAAATAAAAGAAGACTTTTATGTAAACCACTCTACAGTTTTATAGATAGATAGATAGATAGATAGATAGATAGATAGATAGATAGATAGATAGATGTCATGCACACATTCACATACACACACAGCCCACCCAAAGTCAAGTCAAGGTGATTATTCAACTTCATTCTTGTTGGGATTTTATGATAATTGAGAAGATACAAAACTCCTTTGTGCTGCAAACACAGAGACCTTTTCCTAATTTCATGCAAATCAAATAAAGGTGTGTACAAACACAAATACAGACAGTGCACAAATGCCGCAAGTGGAGCTGTGGCTCTACAAGTACAGTTGTGGTTCAAGTGGTTGAGCACTAGGCTTGTGCAAAAAAGCTCAGTGACAGTGTCAAGGCCCTGAATTTAAACCCCCAGGACTGGCAACAAAACAAAAATAAAAAACCTAGAACAATTTCTTAGATTTGTAATGAGACATTCCTGTCTCTGGGATTGCGAAGGGAAGATAATTTATTCAATGCCACATAGTAAGGAAATGACAGGCCAGCAGATCACTGCCATTTTTCTATTTCACTGTACACACATACACATAACACACACACACACATGTTCACACCATATGCACATGTGCTGACTGACTGAAATATGTCCCCTGTACAGGTGTGCTCCCACACAAACTTACCACCTCTCAGCCTGTTGTGAGTGGAGAGCTGGAGAGCATTTTCAGGGCAGTTCCATCGCTCCCAAGCAAACTGGAACTTACACTCCTCAATGCCACTCTGGGCACCCAAAGCCACGCTGGTAGTGTAGGTTAGATAGGCCTGGCAAAGGGAAAAGGACTGTGAATTTCCACCTGTCACAGGTCTCCTGGGGTGGGGCAGCAGGCAAGACTTAGGGTTTGTGGGTGAGGGGGTCTGGCACTGTCTCCTCCTCCCCTGTTTTCTCCGGAAGAGTCCCCTTAGGAATGGAAAGTATAAAAAGGGAAGCTGAGACCATCTTACCTTGGGACCTGTGATCAGGAAATTGTTCACTGACCTACCAAAAAGAGAATAGGGAAGGCAGACATGAATGGGGATACCAGTGGGAATGAGTGGTAAGAAGTGAGGGCTAGAGAGGGCTGGGAAGGTGGCTCAGTGGTAGAACGTTTGCCTTGTATGCATGAGGCCCTGGGTTCGATTCCTCAGCACCACATAAACAAAAAGCCAGAAGTGGCGCTGTGGCTCAAGAGATAGAGCACTAGCCTTGAGCTGAAGAGCTGAGGGACAGTGCCCAGGCCCAGAGTTCAGGCCCCACAACTGACAAAAAAAAAAAAAAAAAGAATATAGAAGTGAGGGCTAGAGAGAAGGACTTACCAGGCAGAGGCACTGAAGTTGGCACAGCACATGCCCACAGCCACCCATAGCATAAACAGGTTACCCATGGTCTTGCCCACCCCAGAGAACCAGGTCCAACCCAGGGCCAAGTAAGAAAAGTGAGGAAAGGCAGAGTCTTTCTCAGTATTTATGTGAGCAAATTCTGAATGGCCAAGGGAGAAAAATCAACAGCCCTTCTCATTTGTCCCTCATTTACAGGGCTGCAGGAGCCACTGACCCAATGGGGGACCAAGGAGGAGGGATTCAGACCAGAGCCTTTAAGGAAGCCCCGCCCAGGCCAGCCAGGCCAGCTCTTCTTCCCTCCCAGACTGAGAGGCTGAAGCCTTTCTCCTACCTTAAAGGTCACTAAATATAGTCTATTTCTGCTTGGGTGGGACGTGGAGGGGGGAAGGAGGGGCCATTTCTCAGAAATCACATACCCCAGAGCCTAGGCCCCTAATCTGAACAAAGATCACTTATCCTTAGGAGTTCCTTATCTATTAATGAGACCTTATTCTTTGGGAATAATCATAGAGACACTCTAATCTTCACTCCTTCTTTCTCCTTTACCCAAATAAGTAAGTGTACTATCCCTACCTCTTCTCTCAGTGATGAACTTGTAGAACCCATCTCCAGATTATTAATTGCTTGTATAATCTGTGAACTTTTCTTTCTAATACTAATACCACTTTTAGAAGGAGGGATGCTGGCAGTTGATCCCAGGGCCTTATTCATGCTAGGCACATGTTCTACTACTGAGCAACACTCCTAATCAACTTATAAATACCACTGCATTGCTAGAGTTTGGGCTATGTAGGCAGAAACTCATTTTGTGTGCTTAGTACTTTAGAAGGTATGAGAATCCTCAAAAGCCAAGCTGAGAGACCTGAAAGGATTGGGAGTATAGAATGCCTCCTCCCAACAAGAACTCTCAGAATGCTCAGAGTTTCCTGAAAAGATCAATCAGTCCTGGCTTGAAGGGAATGCAGATTTCTATCCTGGTGTTGGTTATTTCTACACCAAACTTTCTGGGAACTTGGGGATTGACAAAAATCTATGCTAACTATAAGCCATTTATTGCTTACGCTTGCTTCTTAAGATAAAAAAAAGTGATTTATCAACGAGTAAAATTATATCACATGATTGGTGCTTAATCTTAAGGATTAAGATTGTATCACATGAAATTGTGATTTCACTTTCTGTATATGCACCTGTACCCTACTCAATAAATACCTTGTAAAATGGACCCAGGACAACTGAAGCTTAAGCCCCAGTGCCCTAAACCTCAGTTCCACAGTCTAGTGTCCATTACTGTCTTGTCCCTGGTCACTGCTGCTTGCAACCAGAAGGTGTCTGGATAATGAAAGAAAGAAGGAAGGAAAGATCTGTGCCTGTAACAGGGACTGAAGGCACATTAGGCAGGACTGGGGATGATAGGAAGGAGTAGAGGTCTTTCCTGGTTGGTTGTTGAAGCTTTTTCCTAGGGCTGGGGAAGGAAGAGTAGTTCAAGATAAGGCATAGATGGGCAGTCACCGTTTTGCATCATCATCCAGTGATGATCATTGTACTCAGATTGGTTTCCAGCATCCTAAGCCAAAGGGAAGCCTAGTGATTCCCCTACCAAAGACATTCTAGGATCCAAGGAGTTCCTGGGACTTTTAAAGGCCATACACTTAAGTATAGGCCAGGAATGAGGTCTCCTCACTGATTGCTATCCTTCTGAGTTACAATAAGTACAGAAATAGAGTGTTTAGAAATGTTTATAGCAATTTGATGGAGGAATTTAAACTATATTGAGCCTAGTAAGAAATTTGGGTTCTTAGTTTGTCAGGTTTATGTTTTGTCTGAAGAAGTCTATACAGCCTAGGTTGGCCTCAAAGTTGAGATCTTTCTGTCTTGGCCTCCAAGTGCTAGGATTACAGGTGTGCACCAAAGCCTTCTGTTTTTAATTGTTTTTTCTATTTCTTATTTCCTAGAAGTTCTCGCTCAATTCAATCTCTGCCATCTACCTTCAGCTTTCTCAACTATTTTTCTCTGGTTGGGAAAGAGGCAACCCAGACTCAAGACATTTGAGAAAACCCCACTGAGTTTGTTTTAGTGGCATTTTTCTCTGAGTCCTATTTTTCCCAATCAAGAATCTGGTGTTTGTTGGGTGATAGTAGCTCACCTATAATTTTAGCTACTCAAGAGGCTAAGATCAGGAGGATTCCAGTTGAAGACCACTCTGTTCAGAAATGTTTGCTAGGGCTGGGAATGTGGCTTAGTGGTAGAGTGCATGCCTTGAATGCAGGAAGTCCTGGGTTCAATTCCTCAGAACCACTAAACAGAAAAAAACAGAAGTGGCGCTGTGGCTCAAGTAGCAGAGTGCTAGCCTTGATTAAAAGAAGATCAAGGACAGTTCCCAGGCCCAGAGTTCAAGCTGCAGGACTGGCAAAAAAAGAAAAAAAAATTTCCTAGACTTCATCTCCAAAATGACCAGCAAAAAACAGGGCTAGATCCAGGGGCTGGTGGCTCATGACTGTAATCATAGCTACTCAGGAGGTGAGATCTGAGGATTGATGCCAGCCTAGTCACTAGGTGCTACTTAGGCTCTAGGTAGTAGCCTAGCAAGCACAAAGCCCTGAGTTCAAGTTCCAGTATTGTAAAAAGAAAAAAAACCAGTTTTTAACTTTCACTTTTTAGGGGGGGCGGGGAATGGAGGAAGGTCTGGTCTTGGGCCTTTAACTCAGGGCCTGGGTGTTGTCCTGAGCTTTTTTTTTTTTT